AAGAATTATTGCATAAGGTATATCGCCAGCTTACACATAAACTGGCTACTGGCCATTCTGAAACTATGACACACTCATTGCACAAATGAAGCATTCCACCAATACGTTTGGAAAGAAGGTAACACCAATACATTTAGAACACAGCGTGCTGCCAGATCAGAAAAGAACCGATCTGTCTGCCTGCCTGGTAGCTGCAAGAAGGGTTCAAATAATTGTCCAGTTCTTTGAAACTCACTGAGCCTCACACTCAGTTATCATCATCATACAGCAGGTCCTTTGCAAAACTTTCTCATCACGGTCTGCCTGGAAGAAACTCGGTCTTTCACCAGCTGTGCCGCCTTGTGTACTTTCATATTCAAGGAGTTGCTTATATTCTGTGCCCATCTTCATTTTGGTCAGCCCCTGCCCCTCCTTCGCGGTACCATGCCTTCTGCTACTACTTTTTTCTAATCCGCCATGGCGGTTGATATGACCAAAATACTTAAGCTTCCGAAACAAGATGCTGTTTATTAGCCAATCTTCCTTAATGTTCAAAATAATGTTTTAAAATATATGTATTTCTTCCCTTTCATACTCAGTAACATGCAATATGTCGGCGTCTGTGGCTTAAGCATTGCCAACGCGCTTCATAATGCTGGGGTGCCTGGTTCAAACTCAGCTGTTTTGCCTTGCGCTAGTTTTGACAGTTGGATTGAGAAGCCGACCCTCTAGAATGCAATGGCAAACTACTGGACGTAAATTTGCCTAGAAAAACCACAACAGCCCTGTTATCTTTTTGTGTCACGATAAACCACTATTCAATCCAGCACCTCCACACGCAAATAATCTTACCCTTTTGTTTTTCTTATGCTTTTGCCCTACGTGCTATTGACATTTTGTGTTGTTTACAGCTAGGCTGTAATATCTAGGCCTTTCGGGCTTAACAAATCCTTAATTAGTGAACTTGAATGACAAATTTGTTTCTTCTGCCGTCTTCTTTGCATTCGGTTTCGTATTAGACCATCAGATGGGTTGCCTCTATGACCTCACATGTCAGCTGCACATCCTTCATGGTTTCCCATAGCTTGCTCTCCACACTTGAAGGCAGTTTTTTTTTTTTTTTTTAAGTTGTAGGTAGAGTGGACATATCTGCAGAAGGTGCTCAGGTGTATGTGGTCCTGTCTGACAGGCACACTGTGGGGACCACAGTCTTTATTTTGTGCATGTGATAGTTGAGCCGGCAGTGTTCTGTTTCGCAGGCGGAAAATTGGCTACAAATGTATTTAGCGGCAATGAGTCAGGAATCTGTTCTTGTTTTCCCTCTAAAGTTAAGGACCTGAAACCCACACAGGGATTTTAACAATTATTAGGTTGTGCTAGTTTTTCTTTTCTCATGTTGTTGCAACAACAACAACAGGATTTTAAAGAGAAGGAATTTACATCTTATAAGTTTCCAATTTCTTTAGAATAAATTATATGCTGTATTCGGAATAAGCTTGGTACAGTGAACCTGTCCTTAATTTTTTTGTCTTCTTAATTTGTGGCAACTACAGCAACAAACCAAAACACAAAAATAGATTTCTGTCTGGTGTGCCTCTCTTGCCTGATTCCCTATTCTATGCTTTTAATGAACAGCATTGGAATACAAGTCAGCAGGTCAAAACTTTTTTTATGCGATAAAACATGAGGAAAAAAGCAGACATGAGAACAACTGTCACAACTAAGTCAAAAGTAAAGAACAGCACCTTTTCATGCCTTTAGAGGCATCAGGCATTTAGGAAGAGCACCCATATTTTTACAGACCAATAGGCACTAGGTGGGTAATGTGGTCAGCATTACGCCGGCCGTCTTTACTTTCCCAGGACATATATCCTGGTAACCATTTTAGGCTGGGTCAACCTGCGATGCCCGATACTATGATAAAAGCATTGGGTTTCATTCGCAATACGTTGGAATTACAAGTCAGACTTACAACGCCTAAGCCACGGACGACGCCTACTGTCACAACTAAGAGCAGGTAAAATGTTCGGTCACTGTGTGAGGTGAGATATAGTGTCCTTTACAGGACGTTGCAGAACCAACCCAGCATTTTTTGGCTGTTGTGGTTTTTCTAGACAAATGTTACGTTCGGTAGTTTGCCACTGCTTGCGGAAAGGTCAGCTCTCTGTACCACTGTCGAAACCAACGCAAGACTAATAGTCTGCAGTTGGGATCGAACCCGGCACCTCGACATTACAAACTGTGTTTGCAACACCTAAGCTACAGACAGTGAGATATAAACAACAGTAAAAAAAATAGTTTAATGCATAACAGACACATTTTTTAATCACATTCCCTGTACAGTGACCCCCAATTTTGAACTTATAAAATTTGGGAGAATGTATCATCTTATAAATTGAAAAATATGGTAAGTGTTTAGTGAAATCAGATGTGTTGGGCCAAAAGTCAGATATGACAGCCCAGCTGTAAATCTAAACACAATATGCCATCCTCCCTATTAAGGATGAACACAGAAGATTAGACATTCATATAACCCAGGGCATACATAAGAGGTAAGTATGACCAGCTCCATTCCTTCTCAGACAATTCACAAAAATCTCTCCACCCTGAATTAACTAGAGGCCACAAAATGAATATATCACAGAATATGTTCCCCATGTGGGTTTCAGTGCCCCACTGTGGGGAAAACAAGAATAGACCCACCGCCTCCCCAGCAAGCATGTCCTTAGAGTCAACCAATTGGGGGCTTTCTTCAAAGTTGGAGTACACCTGCCTGAGAGGCAAGGAACCAACAGTCTGTATACAGGTAAGCAAGATCTGAAAAACAGATGCACATACAAAACTCAGGCCCTGGCACAAAGTCAAATGGACGAACAACCTGGACTTTCCACCAGAGCTTAAGCCGGTGAACAAAGAAGAAGAGAAGAAGAAGAATTAACAAGAAGCCACAATGAATATGTCTGTCTTAATGTCTGTATTTACCATCTTTTGGGACAGTGTAGGACAAAGTAGGGGGTAACTTGAGCCCAAGTATTCATGGTGTCATGGCTAGTACGGTCACGATACCACCGGTGCAGGTTAAGATTATTCTTTAATTCTTAAATGCTCATCTACAAGGAGAAATGCCAGGCCTTAAATTATGCAGTTAATTATTCATTTTCCCATCATATAAATTCCCAGTTCCCCTTGCTGGTTCCAAAACCTGTTCTAGAATTTGTGTCCTTGTTATATAACCTCGCAGCTCCATGTGTGGGTTCCGGGACCCGCTCTAGAAAAAAATAAGAACAGTCCCGCAGCCTCCTCACAAGCCTTTCGAAAAAGTTAACTTATTGGGGGGAAAGGGGTTCCTTTAAAATCAGAGTACATCTATCCAAGAGGCGAAGAAGCAACAGTCTGCTCACAAACAAGCCAGATATCTAAAATGGATGAGCATGTATAAAAACTTAAGTTCTGGGTCAACATTAAAGTTCAGAAGTTGATTAATAATCAGAACTTTACAGCCGTGAATGCAAAGAAAAATAAATTCATAGCAAATTCTGAAAATTATCTAGTCAAAAAAAATTTTTTTTTAAAATGAAGTTTGGGTCAACAAAAGAAAGATAAGCTTGTTACTGCTGGGATTTAAACTGAGACCATTTTATTAACAGATTAGAGTCCCAACCACTCTCGACTCTCTTAGTATCAATTCTACATAACAAATGGGAGTCGAGGTAACTTGGTTACTAGATGATTGTCTGGGTCTGAAGATCTTGTGTTTAAAACGGATTGATCGCAGGTTGGCTCACCCTGAAATGGGTAATAGGAAATGTCCTGGAAAGTAAAGATGGTCGGCATGATTCTGGCATCAGCCAATGAATGATGACTATGAAAATATGAATCCACAACCATATGCTTATGAAATATAGGTGGTTCTTTCTAGTAAACAAATAAACAAACAATGCTCCATAATTAATACTGCAGTTTAATGTTGCTTCTAAAGTCATATTAATCCCAGTGAGGGGGGGGGGACCCACCAAACACACGCAGTCTGCATTTTTTTAGGCACATACAGCAACAACAACAAATATAACTTTCTACCGATTTAAACTGTTCATAAAGCAATGGCAAACTAGAAAACAAAAATGACTTTACTGCCCGTATTTATAATTTTTTGGATGACATAAGATGGGGGTAATGAACCCGAGGCTGTAAGGTCACAGGCTAGTGCGGTTGCCAGAAACTGTCCCCAACAGATTAAATAAAAACATCATCTCTGACCAGAATTCAACCTGGGTCTCAACACCCACGTATCTCATTCAGAATGTTCTCCCACAAGATTATTTATAAGTTTCAGTCATTAACTCTTCGAGTCCCAAGGAACGCAAGATGCGCCGATTTTACATCTCTCTTGACTACCCATTAGGCCTCTGATACTAAACCCCTTGGGACTCAAGGAGTTAACCCGTTTTGATGAGTTGCACATTTTTTTAAAGCAGTTTTACTAAATACAAATCTTTCAGAGGCACACACCAAAAAGATAATCTATGGAGAAAATATAAATAAACTATAATTTACAAAATGCCACCATAATTTAGTGTTGCTTCTATAGAGATTTCTACCGTTGAAAAAAAAAAAAAAAAATGGGATCAATCAAACTAAACAAATTCCAAAGAATCAAGGTGTCAGGAAAACATACTGGCACTGGACATTGTTAACAACTAGAGGGTTCTAACAATGGAGCCCACATAGTGAAAGGAATAAAAGCAAATTCATAAGAAATACAGGAAAGAAAATTCTTAGCTGCATGTAGCAGCAACGGATAGGACAATCTGGTCTACTGATGGAATACCTAGCCCATTTGGAGGATAACCGGCATAAGAAGAAGAAATATAAGACATTTACAACTGAAATGACACTCACGGACATGGCAAACTGAACAAGAAGCCAGACACAATTGCCTAAAACAGGCTTTAAAACTCTCCCTGACACAACATTCACATCCCATTTAAACTGTTCTGTTTTAAGATCAGATGTCCATGACATTAACTGGTTGCTTTGAGCTGCAACCTTTTGACCAGTTCAACTAAATAGAGATCTTTCAGAGGTACTGGCTTGCTTTTTTCAGCAATTTGTTTTTGAGCTTTTTCCACAGCAACGTGCGTGTCAAGTCCTATCCATTCAGCTTCCTCTTCCTGGTAAAAGGATAAAAATGATAGAGTTTATTTCAAAGCTGTGAATACATGCAAACATAAACAACAGAGTTAGTCTCAAGGCTGTGAATACATGCAAACATAAACAATAGAGTTCATTTTAAAGCTGTGAATACATGCAAACATAAACAATAGAGTTTATTTTAAAGCTGTGAATACATGCAAAAATAAACAATAGAGTTTATTTCAAAGCTGTGAATACATGCAAACATAAACAATAGAGTTTATTTTAAAGCTGTGAATACATGCAAACATAAACAATACAGTTTTTTTCAAAGCTGTGAATACATGAAACATAAACAATAATGACAAGACAAAAGTGCTGAAAATAAACATTTTTTAAATATCATTGGCAAATGGACTTTCAACGGTTCTTATCATCATCAGGAAACTTGCTGAAGAAGTGATGATGAAAGTAACACCCACAAAGCTCAAGATCATTGAGTACTAGGATTCTTCTTCTTTGTTCACTGCCTGCAAGCTACGGCGCAAAGTCCTGGTTGTTCGTCCACTAGGACTTTGGATTTGTGCCAGGGCCTGAGTTTTGCATGTGTATCTTTTACTGTCTTATCTGTGTGCAGATTGTTGTTGTTGTTATCGATCCAGCGGCGCATGAGCTTTCGCCCTTTGGCCCCTGTGTGCAGATAGATGGTTGTTCCTTGCCCTCTCAGGCTGATGCACTCCGACTTCAAAGGAAGTCCTGAATTAGTCAACTCCTACAACATGCTTGTTGGCGAGGCAGGGGGTCTATCCTTGTTTCCCCCACAGTAGGGCCCCAGAACCCACACGGGGAAACTAGGATTTAATTTCTGCACTGGATGGCATCTTCTTCTTCGCGTTCACCAGCTGTAAGCTCCGGTGGAAAGTTCTGGTCATTTGTCTATTTCTGGACTTAACCCTACCAGACAGCTGGCCCGCTTTTCAGGGAATTTCCTAACCTGCCGCTATACCGCTGGCCCGCTTTTCCGGAAATTTACGTAGCACGTGAAAAATATGTGTCGCAGGCTAAAAATAATCTGCCAATCACCATCAGACTTCGTTGTTAGTCATTGCGAATGACTTCCCACGTATGTTGAGATTTCTTTGTGCGGTTCGATGTGGAAAAAAAAATCAGGGAAATACTCAATGAAATGAGCAGCTTCGACAAAAAAGTGACGTAGGTCTAGGCTTTTCACAGTCCAACAGGTGATCGATACTTTGGTTAATTCAGACTATGAATACGTTCATGAAGAATACGTTCCCAGTTGAAGTGACACAGTCAGTGAGAGCTAGAGTGAGGAGGAGAATTATGAAAATTATAGATTTAAAACTAGATCAATAGTAAGAGAAGGGGCGTGTCTCTCAAACAGCAACATATGGTGCTTACTTTGTGAAACAAGACTGATCCTACTAGGTGGATTAGCACACAAAGGTGGAAGATTGGCACTAGATAAAAGGTAAACCTATTTTCTACAATGTCTCCAAGTTTTATCTTATTCTAACCACTTGTTTGCATGTAACTAATGTTTTTGTACATCATGTTGGTTTTTTTCGTGTTAGTGCCTAGGAGCTCAGGTTATAGGGACAGTTAAGTTCAGGGCCTCAGGTCTGGTAGGGTTAAGTCTTGTTCCAGACCCTGAGTGTTGCGTGCACATCTGTTTCACAGATCTGAATTAGACCAGAATGGAGGCAGATTGTTGTATCCTTGCCTATCTGGCAGATGTGCTCTGACTTCAAAGGAAGAACCTCCCCCCCCCCCCCCCCCCCCCTCCTCCGTAAGTTAGTCGACTCTTATGACATGCTTGTTGGAAAGGCAATGGGTCTACTCTTGTTTTCCCTATAATGAAGCTCTAGAACCCACTGGACTGCAGTTTGAGAGTCACACCACAGAAGCTACTGCAGTCTCGCCACATAATATTACTAAAGACAGCACTGTAGCAACATTCGTTATGAAGATGGCACCGAATAATAACAAACACAAAGCAAACTATGAATAGAGAGCTCAAAAGATGCAAAGAAAAAGACACTGATAAATAAAACCATTCATTTTGACCAGAGTCTTTATCAATGGACAAAACTACTGACTAATCAATAACGAACAGAAAATATATGTGACTACTTGTCACATATGCTGTCACCATAAAGTCACTAATAACACAAGAAGGGACAGGGTTACTGATACCAGCATTAGACAGAAAGTTGGAATAACACTATGTATGAGTTTTATTATCGTCTAAGAATGCAACAGTTCAGCCATCTAGTCAGAATGCAGAGAAACCAGCCTGCATATGAGAATTTTTAGAGCAGAATATCTGAAAGGAAGGTGAGGGGAAGACCAAGGAAGAGAAGGATAAATAATGTACCTGAAATCTGGAAAAATGTTGAATTCATCACTACAGTCACGAGAGAAGTGCAAGACAAACAAAGAAAACCACAACACTGGGCTAGAATGGTACCAGTGAGACGACAAAAGACAAAGAAGAATATATATATATATGAGAGTGTATGGATATGAAAAGGTATTGTAAAACAATGAATACAAAAGAGCAGGGAAAGAAGTGAAGAAATATAAACATAACAATATAACTGTAAAAAAGTTGATAAAAATAGGCAGAATGTTTGCCGGCATCAACAGTTATAAGATAATAAAGATAGTGATATACTGGGCTCACCATGAGAAGAAGCAACTAGAAAATCACCAAATGGACACTTAAATGAGAAACAAAAGGGCTGAGGAAATAAGGATGTCAAAAACAAAAAGAAACCCAAAGATGAAAGTTGTGAGAAGTCAAATGTGCTGGACTAAAATTCCATCCGTATTTCAACAACTGCCCAGGAAAGAACAAAATAGAAGAATGAACTAAGTGCCCTATGTGACACATAAAGGTACAACAGGATGATGTTGATTCCAAACACTAAACATTGTTGTCTGTCATGTCAAACCAGCACCACTGTATGAAGCTGAAGCATGCAGAACAACTAAAACAGTTTTGATAATGGCCAGAGATAAATAAAAAGGTTACAGATTAGCGAGGAATGGACAAAGCATCATCAACCAAGCTGACATACCGGTATCACAAACTCCTTGTATCTGTTGTAAATCTTGTCCCTCTTCACAGGGTCGTCTGGATACATGGACTTCCTGGCCAGAGCTAGCAGCATTTCTCTCTTTAGTGTTATCCCCAGCTTTGAACACAGATCTACCTCGTGAGTCTGAGGAAGTTAACCATCTTTAATGGAGAGTTTAGAAACATCACTAAAATAGATTTTAACAAAGAAATGACTTTTAGAGAAATCAACTCTATCATCATCATGTAGCAGATAATTCGCAGAATGTTGCTCTCACTGCGGCCTGCCTGAAAGAAACTGGGTCTCTCGCCAGCTCGCCCGTCTCGTGTACTTTCATATTCAAAGAGTTACTTATATCCTGTGCCCATCTTCGTGCTGGTCGGCCCCTGCCACTCCTTCCGGATACCCTATCTTCTGCTGTTATTTTTTCCAATCTGCCTTGGTGCTTGACATGACCAAAATATTTCAGCTTCCAGGACAGATTGCTGTTTATAAGCCAATATATCTTGATGTTCAGATCTGTTACAATGTCAGTATTTCTTCTCCTCTTGTTTATGGCATTCTGAGAAAATTTCTATAGCCTTTCAGCAATGAAACCTAACGATTTTTATATTTTTCACAAACAAATGAGGTCAAAAGTATCACAAAAGAGATCCTTAAAAAATTACTAAGAGATAAAGAAAGACTGTAGAAGAGAAAGAGATGACTATGATAAAAAGAAAAGAATGTAACAGAGAATGAAATGACTGTAAGAGATAAAATTCAATGGGAAACCCAAACTGGGCTATTCATTAACTTCTTGACCATCTGGTGCTCTAATAAAGATCTAGGTGCTGCTCATGTTTCCAGTGACCCATGGTGGCATGAATGGCAAGGGAAGGGACTCTAATCCTGAGACTGGAAATGTAAACAGGTCCTAGATGTATTATAGGGTTGAATAAGACTTCTAGGATTTACCGCTGTTTGATTCTCATCTAAATAGTATATAGGTAAAAGTAAAAAAGGTGAGAGGATTAACTTCATTGCACCAGGTTTTATCCAGTATGGCTCCGGCTCTCTCCCTGCAGAACAGCTAGCTGTTTGATGACAGCTTTTCACAGCTCCCGCAACAATCCCCAAGGCATCCCCATAAAAATTGCACACCTAAACTGAATGGCACCGCCGTAAAACAAACCCACGACATCCAGAGCATGAGGTAAATAGCTTGACCACTTCCCCACGGAGACCCCCTAAAAAATATAGTATCTATTTTTAGTCACTGGGTGTTAATCTTACAGCCATTCCTCTGTCAGAAAGTTTAGGTCAAAAGTATCAATAAGTAGGATTTAAGGAAACAATTACTATAAGAGACAAGACAGAAAAAAAGTAACACATCAGTTTATCAACAACACATTAAACCACTGATTAGTTTTAAAACCAAGCTATATATTTTCAATGCTAACATTACTTCAGCTTGAATGTTGAATGAAAAATCTGCATCACAGCACTCGGGACACTTCCATAAGTGCTCCATCCCTTTCTTCAGCAGCAAGCAAAAAGTTCCTATTCTGATTGTGCCGGTAACTGATTGTATATCCGCCTCACCTTTCCTTTGAGTGTTGAGCGTCTGCAAGATCCTCTGGTAACTCCTTGCAGTACCATTCTCCTCACACCGTAATGATGTATCTGTGCCTCCTCACTTTTCACTCGCTCCCAAAGGACCCTCACAAAATCTAACTTCAGCTTAACATATGCTAGGAGATGCTAGTGAAAGACTGAAAACACGAAACTAAAACTGCATGCTTTTAAAAACAAATGCTCAAGAAAGTTGGTAAATATTCCAATCAATCACTGCCCATTTTAAACAATTTTGCAATGAGAGAGGAGAGTTCAAGCCAAAGTTTAGGGCTGCATGGCTAGTGCAGCCGCCACAGACTTTGTAGTTTAACTCTTTGAGTCCCAAGGAACGCACCATACGCTCATAGGTTTCCGCCTAGAGGCCCAATGAACGCAAGATGCGCCGATTTTACATCTCTTTTGACTACCCCTTGGGCCTCTGATGCTAAACCCCCTGGGACTCAAAGAGTTAAAATTGTTTTTTTTTTTTGGAGAGGAAAACCCATAACTTTGCCATGGTGTTTGGAAAAAACCACTTCTCACTTTTAAATTAGACTATCAACTGAAAAAGACGGGGGAAGAATATGGGAAATCTTGAGACAACCGATGATATCTACAATTTTAAGAGAGAGAAAATAAGGCACACTATGACACAAAGATTTACAAAACAGGCAATGAAATGGGAAACAATTGGATTGAAGAGGCAAGGAAAATTTACTTACGCAACTTCACTGGCCTATAGGGTTCTCCAGTGGTTGATATTTGCGTTTCCCATAGAAAATGTTAAATTATGTCTGAGGTTTGAACAACAGATCAACGTCATGGCACACTGGTAGTAAACCATAAGTGCTCTGTTCTTCTTCTAACTCAAGCCTGAGTCCGAAGAAGCTCAGCACAGTGCATAGGTGAGGATCCTGAAATACTTTAGGTAGATTTTTAACTCCAAATTTTGCCCGGGCAGTGCCGCTAGGCTACTTTTTTAAATTTCAAACTGCCAAGGGATTTTTTGCGTGCGTAACAATGCACACATGCGTCTGATCTAACTATCCGGGGAAATTACTAGAAGTCCAAGTCCATGTGAAAAAAAAATCCCAGCCCTTATCAGGCATTGAACCCAAAACCTCTACCACTTGAGGTGGACACCATGCCTCGAGAACACGCAGCCCCCCCCCCCCATGTTAAAGTGTCTTACTGTAACGGAGGCACATTAACACAAACCTTTAAAATGTAAAAATCAAGGCCAAAATTTTCATCAATGAGGTAGAGGGTGCGTTTTGTGATGGTAATTGACATCCATCTGTCCAGGATCTCACTGTATAAGACTCGCTTCGTCAGACAAGGGCGCCATATCCTAGGAAGTCTGAAAAACAAAGCAAGACACAAAGACTGCCATAAAGATAATAATGTAGACTTAATGTATTGCAGCTTTGTTTAATGGCACTGTAACTTCCTGCGTAGAGGGACGAGGGGGAGGGGAAGAAAGTGAATCTATCGCCACTCAACAACCATGACATAAGAGGTGGCTATTTAAGGTTGCTATCAACCATAAGATGTATGTATGTATGTCTGTATGTATATATATATATGACATTCATATTACAAATGTTGTTCGTCCATCAAAAGTGATGAAGACCACTTTCATCCTAAGTAGTAATAATCAATGATTAGGAGTACGAAGGTGGCTGATTAGTCCAATATGAGCCAGGAAAGTTTTTGAGCAGTGCGGACAACAGATGGAGGCCGCAGTGAGTGTGGGATTAGCAGTACAATTCTTTCTTGTCTGCCTCTGTTTCTCTGCCTGGGCAACCTGTGCTACCTGGCAGGCTAATGCACCATGCCTGGGGGATGTACGCCATCTAGAACAGTCTTGTGCAGCAGCCTCAAGGTTGCATATTACATATATTGCTATATGGACACAATATGCTTTATTGATAAAATACATCTGCGATCTGAAAGATAAGTGTTTGGCAGGACCAAATGAGAGATGGGCCTAGGTGCTCTATTTGTAACCATAAGGGAATATTTTCGTTCGTAAAGTGTGGCACAGCAAGGATTCCCCGTGTGGGGCCCTAATATAGGGAAAACAAGAACAGACCCACTGCCTACCCAAAAGCATCCCGTAAGAGTCTACTAATTAAAAGCTTCCTTTGAAGTCGGAGTGCATCTGCCTGAGAGGCAAGGAACCAACAGTCTGCATACAAATTAGTCAGATCTGTCAAACGGATGCATATGCAACACCCAGGTTCTGGAACAGAACTGCAGTCCAGAAGTGGACAAACAGCCAGAGCTTTCTGCCGCAGTTTACAGCCGGTGAAAGTAAAGAAGAAGCAAGAGGATTAATTTTTGATTTTGTTGTCCATAGAGTGCGATACAATTTGTTTGTGATTTTTCCTTCCCAAATTATAAGAGAAACCGGAACAATAACACAGCTAGATCTAGAACTGTCCGTACAATAACACAGCTAGATCTAGAACTGTCCGTACAATAACACAGCTAGATCTAGAACTGTCCGTACAATAACACAGCTAGATCTAGAACTGTCCGTACAATAACACAGCTAGATCTAGAACTGTCCGTACAATAGCACAGCTAGATCTAGAACTGTCCGTACAATAGCACAGCTAGATCTAGAACTGTCCGTACAATAACACAGCTAGATCTAGAACTGTCCGTACAATAACACAGCTAGATCTAGAACTGTCCGTACAATAACACAGCTAGATCTAGAACTGTCCGTACAATAACACAGCTAGATCTAGAACTGTCCGTACAATAACACAGCTAGATCTAGAACTGTCCGTACAATAACACAGCTAGATCTAGAACTGTCCGTACAATAACACAGCTAGATCTAGAACTGTCCGTACAATAACACAGCTAGATCTAGAACTGTCCGTACAATAACACAGCTAGATCTAGAACTGTCCGTACAATAACACAGCTAGATCTAGAACTGTCCGTACAATAACACAGCTAGATCTAGAACTGTCCGTACAATAACACAGCTAGATCTAGAACTGTCCGTATTGTTGCTGTTGTTAATGAATCTGACAATAATAGTCTTGACATTATTGTTAATACTGCAAGTGCAGCACCTACTGCCGAAAACAAGGGTTTGGAATGAAATCAAACCAAATGTTTCTTTAGATCATCTCTGTTTAGATTAGCTGTGTCTGGAATTCAGTAGCTCTGAAAGTGAACATGTAACATAAAAATGACCATAAAGCCATAACTGTTTCAAATAAAGACTAGATAATGCATAACTGAATACAGAAGACGGATGTATCTGAACCCCAGAAAGAGTTAAAGAAGGGTGAACATAGGAGCTAAAAAAAAAATATTCTCCATGGAATAATCAGCATTTTAGCAGTCATCAATATTTACTTACGTAGGAAGTCTCTTCTGTCTTTTGCGGTCAATTTTTCTGTAATATCCAAAAATAATTCCCTCTCCTCCCCAGAGTCCAGTGTTACACTCTTGTGGGTAGACAATAGGGATAGCAGCATTGACAATAGGGATCCTAGAATCAGAAAGAAAAGATTTAAATAGGCGGTAGAACATATTTCTGTAAAAGGAACATATAAACTCATTTACATGGCTTCACAAAAAAATATTTAAAGTTTATGGTCAGAATGAGTTTTTACCCCATTAGAATGTGTCCTTCAATTCAATCTTTTCTATATGGTGGTCCACCAAACAAATTTAAATGGCAGGTTATACATATATTTAAAAAAAAAAACCTTAACCTCAGAATGCAATCAGATTTGTCATTATCATAAACCATTTGTGCCATTAAGCGTTGTGGGGAGGAATAATTTATGATCCATGGCAATAAGATTTGTAATTCTAACATAGTGTACTTTCGAGGGAAAAAATCCTCTTTTTATGAGGGGGGGGGGGGGGGGGGGGTGTTTCTGCAAGTAATTGTCAGACGAGAAGGCTACAAGCCTCTATGAAGGTTGTGGACTGACACAGTCCCTTCGGTGACTGAACCAGCTTAGTTCCTACCTGAATGCCAACTGACCAGATACAGGATCTTTCTTCTGCATCTAAAGAGGATGTCTGCAGCATATGTTCAGGTTTTTTTCTCAAAAAAGACCTTCATTCACATTTAGAAGTTGTCACAAGAAGTTGATGGCTTGGTCTTGTGTGACAGTGTCTCAAGCTTGCTTTTCGAACTAAATGTTACTTTCTAATAGAACCACTTTTACATGGCCAGTCAGAATTCTAGTAGAAGTCTAACTGTATGGATCAGTGGAGAACACAAAGTTGTCATGGGATTAACTACACACTTTTTGAAGGCATATGCTTCATTAGGGGATAAGCAAAATAAGAAGAAAAAAGACCAACCTTTCTCCAGTGTCTTCATCCACTCTGTAACGTCTTGTGTCAGGTCTCCAATGAACTGGAATGGGATCTCGAGTCATAAATTCTTTACATCGATCTTTGTAATGCTGAGGCAATATTTCTTCTTCTTCTTGAGTCCATTTATACTTATAAGGAGTAGCACCTATGAAGTATAAGACAATACCTCTATTATTTTTTTTTTAAACTGCATTGTACACTGTTTACAAAAAAAAAAAAAGGTCATTAAACAAATTCAGTTATTTGATGGCATGTTTTTATTACAGCTTGAAGGCCTAAAACCTCTCTATAACCCAAGTGATTGGCTGAACCCTGAAGTTTTCTTGTGTGCAGTTTTAACAATTTCACTCATTAAAGTATGCAGATTTTGAATGATAAAATTATGCTTCTTTCAGTAGCTATATATATATTTTTTAAGTGATATACATGAAACAAAGAACATGCAATTACAGGAGAGTTGCAACAGTTATCAGGTAGGTCTCCACCTTGACGAAGTAGGTTTCAGTACCAGTACCTTTTTAATTTTTAGGCATAATTTTGTTAGTGCTAGTGTAGTAATATAAAAACTTTGTGCTGAGTACTTGCACTTCTTCAAAAGCACATTCTGAGTATTCTTCTGCCTTTCTGTCCCCAAATGGAGCATAGGCCCCCAACCAACAAACGCCAAGTCAGTCTATCCTTCGCTATTACATGAATCTGGTAAACTGGTAATCCTAGTTTCAGCTTCATAGCAATCGGGTCACCCCATAGTTGCTCCGCTCCTGTGCCAACGAAAAATACACATAGCTCACAGTGTCACGCCATGCACTCAACTCAAGCTGGGCAACAAAACTATATCCTTCCAGTTTATGAAGCTCTCCCCATCTTTCTAACTTCATTCTCCAGCTCTCTTCTCCATGTGTTTATTTGGCCTTCCTTTATTCCTATACCCCTGTGGGTTCCAATGCAGACATACTAATGCTGTTCTCCAGTTTTCTCAGTGTGTGTCCTATCCAACGCCAGTGTCTTTTCCTCACCTCTTGGTCCACTTGAGCTTGCTTATAACATTCTGAGTACTGGCATTTTTCTTCAAGAAAAAACACCTACTCTCTACAATCACAATGATGGTTAGCTTCAATGAACTGAATCTTTATTATACTGTCTCCCATCTTGGTTACAGACTATCACAAACACAAAAGAGTACCTCTGTACATCCCAAATTGCTCATAAGTTATATAATGTATATAAATAAACATGTGAAATTATATAAATATTATCTGCATTTTTTTTAAAAACTCATTCCATTCTAAACAAATTGCCCGTGCGTTTGTGAGCTTTCTTTACATCACAGACTAATTTGGCTATCCTCTGAATAACAGGCACAAAAGATGGAGGCCGCAAAAACACTCTAACAGAGCCTCAGTGACGTGTCAATTGCGCACTTCCGCCGCTTATTTTGCGGTTTTCCGGAGGCTACCGCCGAGAGTATCCCACATGCCTCTCGCGCGGCGTGGATTGGGGCTAAACTAGCCGGCTGGGACTCACGAAAAGCAGCTTCCGCATCTCCTGCAGCGTTGCTCGTGAGTCCTAGCTCACCCTTTACTTTATTATTATATCCTTCTTTAAAGTAGTTCTTTCTCATATTGTTATTTTTTTCTGCTTTACTTTACTCACATAGACTTCAGAACTTTAGACTCAGGTAATATATTTATATTAGTATTAATTAGTTCAAATTTTAAAAAATCATTCTCATTCTTTTAGAATATAAATTCTTTATAATAATGCAATTAAGTAGCTTCCAATCTGTGATTCAAAGAGTTAACAACTCATACACTGCCTGCTGATAACTGAAAGTTAACTGCAAACTAAACCATAGTCAAACTACTAGTACTACAACTCACGCCAAAAGTTGATCCATGTCCCCTTATGTGGAAGCAGCCTTGAGGTCACTTTAAACCGGGTATGTGAATGCTTATCAAAATAAGTAACTTCATGTATGATCATGTCCTTGACCTGTTTTATGCTTGGCATAAAGTGTTTTATCTTTAACTTCTCCATTTTTATACGTCTATTAAGCTCTAAAAGTCCAAGCAAGCGCGTCTATAAGTTTACTTGAAAACCACTATCACACAGGCAGTGACGGCGACGGCCGCTCAATGTTATATTAGACATTCACCATTCACCAGTTGCTAGAAACTAGATTTAGTTGACTTCCGGTAGCACTCTTCGGTTTTAAAAAATTGTTTTTATTTTTCTTTATCTTTTTATTCCTATCTACCTACATCTATACCTTATCAATCAAATAATATACTCTCACCCAAGCACACTAGTCTGTGTGTTATTTTTTAAACTGTTTGTGATGCCCCAATATAACTGTACAATGTGATTATACCGTACAACTGGTTTAAAGAAGTTGTACATGTTTGATTCACGTTATTGCGATGTCAATCTACAAACTGCAGTCCTTGAAAGAAAATCTTCCTCTGCCTCTATTTCTCTCCTCCTCACTAACATACATCTCCTCTGTCTCCCCTCCCCTTTCTCTTTAACTGAGAAAGAAAATAAGGGCATGATGCTCTCAAAATGTATCAAGGTCCCCCAAGGGTAGAACAAGTTAGTCTTGCTTGTCACACCATTTTAGGAGAAAAAGAAAAGATATACTGCCCCTCAACAAGCAAGATTAATTACAAATGATTTTGTCGAGGTCGGAGTGCATCTGAGGAAATGTGTAACAGATGGAAGGAATACTTGACTGGACTGTTAAATTGTGAAACTCCACTAAAATATTATGCACAGGAAGAGACACTAACCAAATAGTAAAGAGCCCGATTTTGAAGAAGAATTGAATTTTGTAACACGGTTTAAAAAAAATGAAGCAGCTGGTGTTGATAGAATTGCTGCTGAACTTATAAAAGAATTTGGTCATGCATTACATTTAAATATATGTGAATTATTGAAACTAGTTTGGAAGACGAAGAAATTACCCTATGAGTGGAAAGTGTTAGCATTACCCATTTTTTAGAAAGGAGACAAGTATAAATGTGAAATTTATAGAGGAATATCATTATTATCTACACGCTATAGGATACTATGTCGGCTCTGTGGCTAAGTTGGTTTCGACAGTGGTATCCGGGGCCGACCGTCCAGAGGGCAATGGCAAACTACAGGACTTAAATTTGCCTAGAGAAACCACACAACAGCCAGGGGCTGCTGGGGTTGGTTCTGCAACGTCCTGTAAAGGATACGCAACCAACCTTTTAAGATAATATCCTGCTAAACAGGCTTAAACTATACGTCGAAGACATATTTGGAGATTACCAAGCGGGTTTCCGACAGAACAGTTCAACAATAGATCAGATATTTAGTTTACGGCAAATAGCAGAGCAAAACTAAGAATATAGAAGAGATGTACATAGACTATGCTTATGTGAAGTTTAAAAAGCAAATGATAGTAATCATAGAAAAATTTAAGGAAACGCTATGAGTTTTTGAAATAAGTTAATCACCATGACCATACTATGTATGGACGACACTTATAAGAAACATTTAAAGGCAGAAAGTCAGACCCTTTTCAAATAGCATCTGGTTTAAAGCAAGGTGATGCTCCGTCCCCATTTCTTTGTCAGATGACAAAGAGGTACAGTCTATATATATACAAGGGATCTCAATGGTCGTAGACCACGACGCAGACCAAGAAAACCATGACGAGATAATATCCAGACAGAGCTGCAAACACTTGGTGTGATCAACTGGAAAGAAAAGGCCAACCAGACAGATGAATGGAGGCGGGCGATTTTTGCAGCAATGAACCTCAAGGACTCGGAATACTGAAGAAGGAGAAGATGTAAGATGTATTATTACGCACGAGCTTTGAAACGCACTATAGCTGTCCGATCGCAGACTTGGCCACGAGGAAAAACTATGTTAACTAGTGAGAATATCCCAAATGAACACTGCAAAAGAGCTAACGCGTTTTCACGAAAATAAGACTACCCCACCCCAAGCCCCAGCACGATTTTATTATACTTTTAATATAAGCCCCCCCCCCCCAAAGAAGCTAAAGTTAAGATCGTCAGCTGAAATGAAAGATCAGGGACCAGCTGGTTCTACAGGAAATGGAGTCGCATGAAACTTAGGCCAGAACTCGGGATTTTAAGAGTTAGCAGGATATTCCAGAAGAAGATGACGGAACTCTGTTCGAATAAATGTAGAATTTTATACATGAAATAATGTAGTATTTTGTACCTTAATAAATGTAGTATTTTGTACCTGAAAAAATGAAGAATTCTTTTACCTGAATAAATGTAGAGTTTGTTATCTAAAAAAAAAAAAAAAATGTAAAACGCTGTACCTGAATAAATGTAGAAATTGTGTACCTGAAAAAAAATTTTTTTAATTGTGTACCTGATTAAATGTAGAATTTTATACAAGAATAAATGTAGACTTTTTGTATCCGAAGAAATGTAGATATTTGTGTCTGAAAAAAAATTAACAAAGTTAAGATCTTGAATTCAAACATAAATTTTGTAATCCAACTAGAGATCTCAGGTCGACCTAGCCTAAAAAAGGTTCAATGATAGGATGGGGGAAGTAAAGTCTACCGAACGATGTGACATTACTTCTTCTTCTTCTGTAACCTTCCAGTTGTAAACAACGGCAGACAGTTTTGGGTGTTCGTCCATTTCTGGACTTTAGTCGTATTCTAATACCTGAGTTTTGTTTGTACATATGTCTCAGAACTCTGGCTTATTTGTATGCACACTCTTAGTTCATTGACTCTCATGCAGAATGTTGAATGTTGAATTAAGAATTGACATCACAGCACTCGGGACACCCCCATAAGTGCCCTGTCTCCATCTTCAACAGCAAGCAAAGAGTTCCAATTCCGATGGAACACACACACACACACACACACACACACACACACACACAAACTCACACACACACTCACACATGCAACAATACATAAAGTGAATGTTTAATGACTTTAGACGTTTATGAAATCAATTATTTGCGCACCGTAGTTGAAATGTTATATTATGTGATGATTCAATCGCCATGTAACCATTAGTTTAGAATATCACTGTTATAAACCGGTGTTTTGGTATCGGATCTTAGCTATAAGTATGTTAGTTATTGAAGAAAGAGTATTTTTGGTTGTGAATGTGTTCCTTAAAGGTGGATGTTCAACAGTTTATGGTGTCATTTCCTGATAATCATGTGCCTCGTCCTAATACTGTAAGCAATTTAATCATTACCCAGTAGAATCGATTGTGAATAGAAACTTGTTTTCCTGTGTGGCTCGAGTTATTAACCCTACAACCCAACAGGTCGGAATGCTTTAAATTACCATTAACATATAGACCTTACAGCTACTTCCACTCGTTAATCGGATCCGAACCAACATCCCTTCTAACAAAGCTATTTCCTGGCCCTCTGTAACCTACACTGCGACCTAGGTGCCACTGTACGGCTCTGGATAGTGCGATTAGACAGACCACGTCACCGTGTCCAGTCACCTTGGGTACCATACCCACGGCATCATTCTCTCTTCTCCTTTACTGAAAAATCAACCTTTTTGAACCACCTGGCAAAGACACAGATCACAATGCGGGTGAACGGCACTTCAAACAAACATTCACCAATATTCACTCATAATCACCTTCAGTCCCTCCATAGCCACACACGCCCCTGACAACAACTACAAGAAAGAGCCAGCCAGTGTTCTTCGGTTTGTGAGGAGAAGAGAGGCATTGGAGAATATACATCAGGATGACTGGAAGGTGATAAATACACGCATTAAAGACAGTAATTCATATATACCGAAAGACGGTAATTCACACATACTGTCAAGACAACAACTGACACATACCGTTAAGTAAATAATTATCACTTGCTGGGGGGAAAAAACCCAGTAATTCACACATGCTGAAAGTCAGTAATTCACACAGACTAGAAAGACAGTAATTCACAAATGCTAGGAAAGATAGTAATTCACACATAATGGAAGCGGCGTCCGTGGCTAAGGCGTTGCGAATCTGACTCGTAATCCAACGTACCGCGATCGAAACCCACTGTGGGCTGCGTGGATTTTTATCATGGTATGGGACGTCGCAGGTCGACCCAGCCTCAAATGGGTACCAGGATGGGCTGTCCTGGGAAAGTAAAGACGGCCGGCGTAATGCTGACCACCGAGCGTCGATTGGTCTGTACAAATATGGGTGCTCTTCCCATATGCCCGATGCGCCTAAGGGCATGTAAAGGGATCTTAGTCTTACACATAATGGAAAGATAACAATTCCCCCATTCTGGGAAGACAGTATTTCATATATGCTAGGGGGAACTACAGTAATTCGCATATGCTGTAAAGACAGTAATACACACATGCTAAAAAAGTAATTCACACATGCAGTAAACAGTAATCTATTCATGCGGAAAAGACAGTAGTTCACACAAAACATTTCGTAAAGACAGTAATACATACATTCCGTAAAGATAGTAACTCATACATGCCGTAAAGACAGTAATTAATACATGCAGTAGAGACAATTATTCATACGTTGGGTAAAGACAGCAAATTATACATGCTGTAAAGATAGTAATTCATAAATGCGTTAAAGATAGCAATTTATACCTGCAACAAACAGTAATTCATGCATGCAATAAACACAGTAATTCACGCATGCAGAAGGGAAATACGGTGGAAAAGAAGAAAGAGGAGAAGAAGAAGGGGAGAAGAAGAAGAAGAAGAAAAAGAAGACGAAGAAGTCATGGGTGTGTCAGATCGACTGAACCTACAATTGGTATAGGAAAATATCATGGAAAGTAAAGACGGCCGCTGTTTTTATCGACCACTAAATGGACCATTGAATGCGGAGTGGTCAGAGGACAAACAGGAGAGGAGGGATGATGTTGGGGGTTAGGGGGTCGACAGGTGAATAAACAAGGTGAAGACAAGGGCAGCTGCAACAGTGGCGCAGAATAGGATGATATGGCGATAATTGGTTGATTGTCTACGCTCCAGCGGCATATAAGCGCGACAGAAGAATGGCTGCTCT